ATCCAACAGAACACGGGAAAGTTTAGTGAAATGGAGGAGTTGATAATATGCGAGTTTATTGAAATATTAGTCAAGCAAAAGTGCAAGGACATGGCTGAAAAGCTTCTCCAGTGCGTTCAGTTGAGAACATCAACGTACTATTCAAAGAAAAACATGGTTGAAAATGATAACTAAAACAAGCATGCTATTCTACATGTATGCTCACACCATGGACACATGGTCATAGCTGTGAAGACGCACGTATGCTCTGGTTGAGTACGTTTTGTAAAATTGAGTGAAGTTTTATTTAAAAGTTTGAGAAACAACACAGACATGTCCTTACTTTTTAATGAATTAGCTACTATTCGGCTGTGAAAACTTCTTGAGAATCTCGCTAAACTTCACTGATTTATTCCCAATAATTTTGCACTCGTTTTTCTTGTCGTCTTTTTTATTGCAATTTTCTTCAAGCTGCTGGATTATTAATTTTACAGTGCTAGTTTCCCCATTTTTGAGTAAACTATCGGCTTTGCTTTTGATTTGTTTACTGCTACATTCATCAATCTCATACTCGCCAGTCTTAGAATTTTTCCTGAAATCATAATTCATAAATGTCTCTGTTTGGTGTTTAAGCTGGCTATTTACCTTACTTTTACATATTCTTTCCAGCTTTTCCTTTTGGAAGTCGTTTAATTTACTTGGTCTACAGGTATCTGCCACATCATGCCCGTTTGTGTTGCCCAAAGATTCAAACACAGATAACTTTACCATGAATGGTTCATTTTCCATCCATAGTTGTCTTTTGTTGCTTTTGTTTTCTGGAGCTTCGGTTGAAGTCTGGGGACTTTTGATTAGATCTGGGTCTGTATGCATTCTGGGCATGTACTTGCCATCAAGAACAGATGAGCACGGCCCGCTGCATGTCTCTGGACTTTTTCTGTTGAAAAGTGTTTCATAAATACCGAAGTCTATTATCTGTTTAGAACAATGCTTGCAGTTCATTTTGAGATGGGCATTGCAGGCAAGATTAAAATAAAAAAAGAACAAACAAAAAGTGCTGAATGGCCGGGATCGCTTGTAGGTACAAATAAAGGATTTTGAGATAAATGCTAGAATCTAAGTTTCAATACCATAAACAATTTGCACAAAGGATGGTTTGACTAAGTACAGCTACAAAAACTGTGCAGCATATTGCCATGCTTAGTTTCATTGATTGATGCATTTTTGACTAAGCCAGCCCAATATCAAAAGAAAGGGGAAAGGAGTGAACTTGAAGACAAATTTTACCCTCACATGTCGACAACATGCTGCACAACACAGAAACTGAACTTGATTGTAATTGGGCTCCCTGGCTGTGGAAAAGGTACACAGTCTGCTAAAATAGCTAAGCACTATAATCTTAAACATGTTACATCGGGGGACTTACTGAGACAAGAGGTGGAAAGAAACAGCAAATACGCCAAGCAGATCCAGGAGCTGATGAAAACGGGCAAGCTGTTTCCCGATGATCTGGTGAATAGTATTCTTCTCGAGCATGTCCCCAAGGAAAACTATATTTTGGACGGATACCCCAGGAAATTATCACAAGTAAAGACGTTTGAAGATATTGATCTTGTAATCTACATTGAGTTGCCAGAGCAAGAGGCCGTTAGAAGAATTCTTCATAGAAACCAGGGCAGATCAGATGATAGCGAGGAAGCTGTAAAGGTAAGACTGAGAGCCTTTGATAGAGAAACCGAGCCCGTAATTGAGTACTACAAATCACGAGGCATACTGGAAGTTGTCGATGGGCAAGGCAGTGAAGAGGAAATATTTGGGAGGATCCAAGAACTTATTTTTAAGAAATTTAATATTTAATTAAACTCCAATAACAACAGCTAACTCGTTTTCAACAATGGGCCAGTATTGAGGCTTTTAGCGAACACTGGACACACTTAGTGGTGTGGGAGTTTTGTAAAAAATTTATTCTATCTTATTCTTTGTCTGGAAAGTTTGATATGGGAAGACGGATTGAAGAATAGATTGAACAGTGTCTGAAGCAGTTTGGGTAAAATGGCGACCAAATTCATAAAAAGCAGAAATGCACCAGTCTTATACAACTCATCATACTTTCGTATTTCCGAAAGAAATGGGATTGAAATAATGTAGCAGACGATAGAGCCAAGACAGATAAGAACTATTCTTCCTGTTAAGGTTCTCGGACACCGACAAGAGAACCATGAGCTGTTCATTTATGATCAGGTTGGTAAAGCATATGGTACTCAACGAGAACATTTCTCTTTTTTTCAATTTGAAGTATAGAAGGATAAAGGTAGAGGCTTGAAAAATACTCATTGTAAGTGAGATGAAGAACTGTCTAATGCTGAGAAGATTGTTCAGCTGTAACTCCTTGAATAGCTCAGGGTACTGCATCGACAGGCTTTTTGGAATGTCCTGGTCTATAATGACCCAGAACAGCGGGAAAATTGTAAATAGAATGAAGAGCATTGGCATTTTCCCCTGAAGAATAGAGATTGGGAAAAAGTGAATTAGGCAGCAGAAAATAGCCTGGATCGTGCTCAAAAGAACACCCCTGTGAAAGATAAGATGGGCAATCTTGGAAGTATTTTTGTAGCACATTCTACCATGGGAAAGCAGTAAATCTAATACGTCTGAAAAACTTTTAAGGGCGAAATCCGCTGCAAGTGAGGCCTGCGAGCCTTCCTTGCCCTCTATTCCTACTCCAACATTGGCTTGTGTAATCATGGAAACATCATTTCCGCCATCGCCAATGCACAGCACTGTTTCATTGGCTTTCTCTCTAAGTGCGGCAGCCATAATTGCTTTCTGAGTAGGCGTATAACGGCATCCAACCAGGCAATGCAGACCCTTGGAAATATCAATAAATCTATCGAGAAAATGATCAATGATAACCGCTAGAGATGCCCCATCAACAACAAGAGAATTGAATCCTCTTGTGCTCAGTGCATCAAGGTTTTTCTTAATCTCGTCCTTGGAAGTGCAGTTGGCAATAATCATATAGTGGTCATTTTTAGTCAAAAGCCTCGATGAAAAGGCGATTGAAATTGCCGTCTCAATCTTGTCGCCGGTCAACATCCAAATTTTAATTCCAGCATTCCTCAAACTTTCAAGTGTTTGCTTGACTTTATCTTGGAGCTTGTCTTCTACACCCGTCAAGCCAACAACATCCAAGTCCTTTTCAAGTTTGCATTGCTCCTCGAGCATCTTCTCGTTTCTATTCACCAACGACATCTTTGCAGTATTATATGCTTTTGCAAACTTTGAAAACTCACTTTCCGAAATGACTTTCTTGGCTATCACTAATGTTCTTAGCCCCTCTCTTGCCATGTTGTCGGTCTCCTCCTCAATCCAATCATTTTCTTTCACGATGCTCTTCATAACGGTATCTGCTCCTTTTTCAAAGAAGATATACTCGTCATCCTTCTTTAATATGATGCCCATTCTTTTTGTATCGCTATTAAAGGGAAACGTATAGAGAATCTCATACGTCACAATTTCTCCCTTGGGATTTTGGATGTGCATCTTGTGATTATCACGTGCTACCAGCTTCATTCCAACCTGCCCTGTGTAGTTTACCATTGCCACCTCGTCTGGTGAGGATGCTTGATATTGAATGCCCTCCTCAGATTCTATCGGCATGACACTGTGGCAGACGCTTAGTGCCTCTATCAGGTCGTAGATCTTTGAGTCTAAGCTTTTGGACTTCTTCCAAAACATCTTTTTTGAGCGCCATGACTTGTCCAGTATTTTGCCAATTGACCTTGTTATTTCCTCTGTATTCTCTGCATTGTAGCACACCGTTCCAATATGCAGCTTTCTCATTATCATTTCATTTTTGGTCAAAGTGCCCGTCTTGTCTGTTAAGAAGAAACTTATCCGGGCAAGCTCTTCCTGAAGGGTATTTGTGAGCACTTTGACTGTAGACAGGCTGGGATCCTTACTCAGCCGATAGGCATAGATAAACCTAGCTGTTGTTATCATAAATCTCAGCGATATTGGTATCACGTATGAAAAAATAATAATAAACCTGACGCAGACGATTCTCCAGGATGTTGAAAAATCGAAGCCAGCCCTGAAAAAGGTAAACATGATCGATCCAAATATCGAAATAACCGCCATAATTGCAACAAAGCGATCAAGCTCTTTTTCGATTATGCCCGTCTTGTTCCTTGGCTTATTAGTGTTCATCATCGATCTTGTATCATGTCCGGTGTAAATAACCAGGGCTAGTGCAGCGGAAGACGAAACAACTGTATTTGCCCAGAGTGTATTTTCTAAATCGCATCCCATTTCTCTCCTTGCAGGTTCTACCGGCTGGGCTTCGGTCTTGACCGGTATCTTTTCTGGCGTAGCTGCTGATTCAGCACCCTGAATGTTTAATAGGTTAGCCTCATTCGCCATCAAGCTGATGTTCTCAAGATCGACACTCTTGGACGTTCTGATGGGCGAGCTTGGCTTTCCAAAAATTAACTGATTGTCTTCTCTCTTTTCAATAAAGCTGTTTACAATGAGTTTTCCATTGAATGAGTATATTTCTTTGCTGGGCGGTTCAATCTCAGCCTCAATACTTGAAAGGCTTTTTATTGCACAGTGCTGTGTCTCTGCAAGCGAGTTTCTACGTTTCCAGTCCGTTTCGCCATCCAGCTGGTCAGTTCTAATAAATATTTCGCCAGAGTTGTCTTCCGACTTCAACAGAATACAATCTGCAGGCACTCTCTGGCCCTTCTCAATAAGAATGATATCTCCCACCTTTATTTTCTGGCTTTCTACTTTGGCAAAGTCTTTTCCTTTTAGTTTTTTGTACTGTGCCATGTTAATTTCCTTGTCTCTCAAATAACGGGAATAGTTGTCTATGGCTTCTCTGAGGACTGTGATCATGAATATTACCAGCCAAGGAAGTAGAGATGAATACAGCGATGTGATTCTGTACGTTTTCTTTATTTGGCAGAAAATAACGAACAGGAAAAATGTCGAAGAGATGCTTTCTATCTGCATTTTCGCCATCATGAACGGAAATGACAAAATCGAGTATTTTGTGTTGATAATTCTATTGTCAGAAGTGTTCTTTGGGGCTTTGGAGGATATGTACACCGTGGACTGCTTCTTTGGCATATTAAGGGTGAATTGTTTTCTTTAAATGTTGCAGCACAATTGGCTCAAATTCAGGAGTGCACGTAAAGAAATGAACCAATTGAGTAAAAAGGAGGAAAAGGTGTCATTTAAGCAGTTAATGGCAGATTTTCAGACACAGCGGCCACACCTGTGAGAATCTTGGCTGCACACCCGAGATGATGAAACAAAACTTAAATCATAGCCCAAAGTATGAAGAAGTTTTTTACTGCCATCAACAAAAACACTCCAATATGCGGATCATGTTTTAAGTGTTTCTTCTTAGCATAGCGACAAAACATCTCAATCAATCGCTGTTTTCAATTATACCGCAGTAAGAGTGCTAAGGCCTTAAGTTATATAAAAGCCCAACTACTCCAATGATACAGGTTTAAATGCAGGCACATCTCCAAAGCATATTCATCTTTTGGCATATTTCCAGCTCTAAGAAATTCGTGTATTGTTCCTTCAAAATTTTGCCCAATGGAAATACACCAACTTGCAGAAATCAGCGAGAAAATATATGGAGATCTGCAAGCACTGCTGCCCGCAGATATTAAAGCCATCGAGTGTATCTTGCAGAAGGAAAGTATCAAGTATGGCAAAATTCGAACATTCAATCTTGAAGATAGTCAGGACATCGTTTTACTAACTATGAAGCAGAACTGCTTGATTCTTATTAAGCATCTGCTGGAAAATGAAATTTCAGTTCCAGACAACTTGCTCAATGCTGTTTATAAGCTTGTAAATCTCAAGCAGACATACCTATCCTCGTCGTTTGAAGCATCAAGCACCAACGACAAGCCAACACAAAGAAAAAGCATGGATCTGCATGCCCAGATTGAGAAGGAGAGGATCATAGACAGCATTCTCAATCTTTTAGTTGACATTGTTTTTATTTCCAGGTACAGGAGCGAGGATTTGGCTAATTTTTTAAAAAGCAAAAAAGTGCCTGATGAGTTTTCAGTTAATTTGGCAATAGCCATTGATCAGGAACTTGATCTCGAATCTTTTGAACTGGCTGTCCTAACTAAAAAGCTCCTCGGGCCTGTTTTTCTCAGTTTGGCAAAGTCGTATAGAGGCTCCATGAGAAAGCTTACGAAGAAGAAGATCATTGACATAGCATCGAGATGTATTGACACAAAAGATAGACATGTCGCATTCAAGCTATTTTACTACCTGAATGAGGAGCCACATAGAAATATTCTTGTAAATACCAAGCCCGAAAGCTCGCCCGAGTATTTTGGATTTGCAAGCTCGCTTGTTATGGATAAGGAAAGCGCTGAGATTGTCTATGCCAAGTTAGAGCCGTACTTTGACGACTTGGTTGAAGCCTTACAAACTCTGCTTTCATTTCCAAAGCATGAGGAGAAGTCGATCCAGCCAAGAGACGAAAAAATGATAAGATATCTTCTTGAATGCATTAATAGTATATCCAGATTCAAGTCTCTTATTTTTTTCAAGTTTGTTTCGCTGCTTCAGGGAATATTAAAGATTAAAGTGTCCAAGGAAATCAAAGGCACTATTTATGACATTTTGAGTAAATATGTTGATGAAAGAGACCTTTATGTTGGAAAAGTTGTAGAGTGCAGGGATGATGTTGAAATGGAAATTAAAACAAAGGATTTCTATCTGCTACCAAGACTGATTAAGTTTTTGAATTCATACCAAAGACGTGAGCAAAGAGAAATTGAACTAGTTAATATTGGTGTGCTACTGGGCTCGCCGTACATTACAGACACCGACAAATCAAATGCAGCCTACATCGACAGTTCCGAAAAGTACGACTTCAGGGTTTTGGGGCTGAAAAGCGAGGATCCTACAACTGTTATTGAGTGCCTAGACTGCTATATCAGCCCGGATGTTCTTAAGATGTACTCGGTACATTTGAGAAATGCAATGGTTAAGGATGTGGCAGTCATTGACAAAATAATTGATTTCCAAATTGAGCATCATTCGCCCATCGACGACATTTCCATTGTCAATTCCATTCTTTCCCACTCCTCGCCCCGCTTCTTTGAATATGCCAGATTGTTCAAGGATTTTTCATTTTACCTTAACAGCGATGTGCTAGAAAGAATATCTGAGGATCCAGAAAATGGCACGGAATGGATAAAGGAATGCTATAACAAGGAATTTGGGCTGTTTATACTCCACAACTGTGGATACTTCAATGATCTTCTCAGGGGTAGTAGTGCAATGCAACCAGGTCTATCACTGGTTTATGAAAAGATACTTGATGAAAACCTTGGAAATGTTGAGGTTAGGGTTTTTAATGGGAGGGATGAGAGCGAGTCTCGTCATTCTACTATTTACTTATTTGATAACCAGGAAGTTCTAACAGAGACATTTTTCAGGATTTTTGCTAAACAATTGATTTATTGTAAGTTTTTCAGGGTCGGTGAAAATATAGGACATACTGTCCTGAAAAAGTATATCTCTCCTTTTTACAGCTGCTATGTCAAAGCAAAGGCTGTCTGTGGGCTGGATGTGTCCTCCGATATTCAGTTTATGAAAAAGAACTTGTTGGCCGATGATGATCTTCTTGGCTATTTGAAGACTGTAGGCTGCTATTCGCCCGAGACAGAAGTCTGTTCTTCTAGCATTCTTCTTAACTTCGGAATCAGGGACAATTCGATTTTTGTAAAAAACTTTCCAGGTGCCAGTGATTTTGAAAAGTTTATTCTCTTTTTCAACATTGAGCACGTATCGAAGGACATCGACATTATAATCAAAGATGAAATTATGAAAAATCTGAAAAACCCAAACAGGTTATATTTGAGAATGTGCATTCTCCAGTTGTTTAGAACCAAAGAGCTTGACCAAATTATCAAAGTTCTTGAGAAGAACTTTGAAGACAAGGAACTGCTATTCAAGCTGTGTATGCATAACGTAATGCATGGTGGAAGGTACTTTTCCAAGGACCTGATTCTATATGGAGACGAGGTATTGAGGAGCAAGGCCTTGTTTCTTCTGTATTATTTGAGTATTTGGGACAAAGAGTATCTCAGAGAGATGATTGAAAAAGCCGATGCGGAGGCATCTGAGGACATGAAGTACCTAACTGAAGATATAGGGAGCTATTAAATACCATGTTTTATGACCATGTTTTGATATTAAACAGTTTATTGACTAGTGTGAGCATATTACATTTCGCTCATTCAGGTAAAGTATGTTCGTGTTTACATTAAAATGAAGTGACAATTATGCTCATAAGCAAGGACCAGATAGCTTGTTTGAATGTACTAGTTTACGCCGTGAATAAACAGAAATGAATGTTTCTTGAAATTGCCCTAATACTTTGTCGAAATCTGCACAACATCTTCATCGTTCAGAAAATGCGACAGCCCAACTTTCTGTGGCTGGTGTTTTGCACTGCTTCCCCACACCAATGCGTGCTTAAAATTGATATCCATGTCTTTGTGAATTCTTAAGCACAGCTCTTTAACTGTAGGCTCACTCCTCATCACTATGGGATGTTTAAAGTCTGGATCTTCGCCTTTCTTTTTTGTATAAATCCTCTTTAACTGTAGTTCGCTCCACACTCGGTGCTTCAATTCATCCAAGTTCCATCCCATGTTGCAGCTGATGACAACGTTTTCATCGTCTTCTGCTATGGAAAGAAACTCGTCATATGAAAGCTCATCAACTTTGTTATAACAGAATATGCATCTCAGATATGTTGCATTTGAACTGAGAACATCTATAAGATCCTCGTCTGTAATATCCTCCCTGATTGTTAGTTGGCAATTATAAATTCGATACTCCTTCAATATCGCTATTATTGTTGCCTCGGAAAGATTGGCCAACTTGCAGCATGCCGTAATCTCAATGCCACTGCCTGTTCTTACCAGCGAAACATTTGGTCTTGTCTTATTGATTCTAATGCCCATTTTATTTAGCTCAGAAATTAAAATTTCTTTGTCCTTTGGTCTTCTGTAGTCGAGAATCATCAAAATAAGGTCTGCTGTCTTGACAACACTAATGATCTGTCTTCCTCTTCCCCTATTTGAGGACGCTCCATCAATGATTCCCGGCAAGTCTAAGATTTGGATGGATGCGCCGTTGTATTCCAATTTGCCAGAAATACAGTCTAATGTTGTAAACTCATGCTCGGCCTGCTTGCTGAAGGTGGACGTAATTTTACTCAGAAGAGTCGACTTTCCTACGCTTGGAAATCCGACGAGTGCAACTCTTGCATCTCCGGATTTCTGAACTTCAAAAGCTGGTGCTTTTGTTGATTTCTGCTTTGGTTCTGCGAGCTCGCTCCTATATCTTGCCAGCTTGGCCTTCAGAGAACCTAAATGGTGCTCTGTGGCCTTATTTTTCTGAGTCCTAGCCATTTCAGCTTCAATCTCGGCAATTTTGTCGCCGAGTCCCATGGACTCCGAATTTTTATTGTGGAAATGGTGTTTGGAAGATTGCAACGGCAGCGGTGTAAATGTGCAATAAGCTGTCTCCATGGCCAGCACATGCAAGAGTTAAGGTAGGCTAGTGTCGCAGGCCTAAAAGATTTGCAGGTTGTTTGCAAGAACATGATATCTGTTCTGAGTTTGCACATGGACATCTCCAAGAAGTTAGACAACTTATATAAGAAACTAGATAAAGTAAATCTGCAGTATACAGTGCAACAACAGTCAACATGCAAACTTAAATTTAACGCACCTTTTAGATTTATTTGGCGATTTTGAGCTATCCAGAGCACCAAGCATGTTCCTAAAAGCGGATTGTGCAAATAAAGCCATCCATCGAACTCAGAAACACCGTGTTGTTGTCAACGATAGCATCAGTAATTGCCATATAACAGGCATTGTCAACGCAGCAATCTAACTCATTGTGGACAAGCACATATGCGCTTTTCTTGGTGCAGATCACCAAAGCATCCTCGTTTCTAATTCGTCCCGCCACAACTTTCACAATTGATGAATTCAGAGGCCCAACCCTTTTCTGAAGATGAGCTGGTTTAAAGGGATACGCAAAGATACTTAGAGTGTTGTTTTTGGTAAAGACATGCAGAAGATCCTCCTCAAATAGTATTCTTTTGAAAAGCCCCCTCGAAGTATCTAGGTTTTGATCTAGTTGGCTAACTAATTGTAGTTTATTTTTATGGATCATATGGACCTTCAAAGTCTTATCGACTGAATATGTTGCCAAGAGATTATATTTTTTGTTGTATGAAATTCCTTGTATTGTGTTTTCGTGGATATTTTGTGAAAACACCAACTCAGATTTAATCACATGCTTCATACTGTTAGCTACTGCATTGTTTGCATTTTCTTGGCACGCTGTCGAGTCTGTCATCATACTGCTTGGCTCGATGCTAGTTTCTTCCATAACTTCTATTTTGTAGCAGTCAATTCTGCCACTTCCAAAGCCAACGAACAATAGGTTCTCAGACCAGCACATATCATATGCATCGTTTTCAACATCCTTCTGCATTGTATATTCTGTTTTGTCGGTATAAAGTATAATTCTTCCACCATCTGCACAGGCAGCTAAAAGATAAGGACAGCTAAGATTGCTTTTGCAAAATCTAACACAGTTTATTGGTTTGGAGAAGCCAGCCAAATCTTTTAGATATTCTATTTGAATGGTGGAGTTGACGGCAGTTTTGTAGACATTGTCGTCATAGTTCATTTTTTTAAACAAGAGCCTCCAAAGACGAACCACACCATCAAATCCACAAGTCGCAAGCATATTGTTATGAATGTCCATTGACAGAATAGGCGAGTCTTCATGGAAATAAATGTTGTGAGTGGTAACTTCAATTGGCGGGTGTTTTTTGATTAAGTCCACCATCGAGGGTGAAGAGTTGGAAGTAGTTTACATAAAACCAGTCTAAAATGAGCCAAAACTTAATCAAAAGATAGATTTAAATACTTCAAATGTGGCTCAGACCTTGCAAGACGAGAATGGCCATGTGAAAATCCGGCTGCCGTTCTAGCACATAAACCTTAAATCTAATGGCTAACGACATTAATTAAAAGATAATTTAACTATAAAATCCTGACGGCCTTGGGTTATTTTCTCCTGCTTGCTTTCTTTTCATCGCCAATGTAGAATCCATCCTTGTCGACATCACACAAAATCTGATAATCAGTACTTTCAATAATCAAGTCGATCAATGCAGCATTCACACATCGGTCAAGGCCAGTAATGTCTTTGAGTGTTTCAATTGCATCTGCCTTTCTCATATTCTTAATATTCTTAATTACAAAATCCACGCTGGCACTAATCTCATGGTTTTTCAAGAAGTTTGTTAATCTTGTGCTCTTCTCATTAACAACAGATGTTTCGAAGAACTCGTCATCCTTTTTGTATTCTTCGACAACTTGGTTTTTTGCAAAGAACTTGTTAAGCTCTTTGAAATTAAAGGACGGTACCTCCTCAACAAGCTTGTCAAGGGGGACAAATCCTTTGTCAAAATCCCGCTTGACCCAGTAGTTGGCATATGACACTGTGTTTAGTAGTAGCTTGAACTCCTTGTCTGAAAATGGGCCTTCAAGGGAGCCGTTTCGCTTCAGAATCCAAGTTGTATGAATCTTTTTTGGCTTGCTCAGAATGTAATTGCCAGCCTCGTCAAAGTATCCGGGGCCTGCTGCTTTGATATCTACGTCCCAGGCGCTTTTTATGTGCTTTTTGGTATTTCTTGTGTTTCTGTACAGCATTTCGTTGGTTTCTACCACGCCATTGTTTTCCAGCGAGATGTATCTCAATGGTGTTTCTTCATCTAGGATGACTGGAGATTTAACAAGATCGCTTGGCTGTGTCATTCTATCCAGAGCTTTAAAGTGGCTTGCAAAGTCAAACATATGGGTGCAAAATTTTTCTCAGAATTGAGAAATTAAATTACAAGGCTACTGATCTTTAATTAAACATGGTATAACCATTTCATTCGCTGCACAGCATTCCATGCCTTGCAATCAACCTTAACATGTAATGTACACTTGGTGTTGCAGTGCTGTTTGCTTTAGTCTCGCGTTACTCCCAAACTTTTACAATAATATGGATTTGTGATAGATCACGGTTGTGATTGGATGAAATCCTGAAAAATTAAACCGGAAAAATCACACAATACCAACACATGTACTCTATGCTGAGTGATAGTATGAGCCTGTCTATTAAAATAAACAAACATCCAATGGCTAGGCAGAGACACAGCTCTGCCTGGCAGCTTTTCTGATGCAGCTGTCCTTCTGTCCTAAGAATGCTCAGGCTTTTGGCTGCCTATTTAACTTTATTAACTTTCAAACTTTTGTTTCATTTTTTAATTGGTAGTAAAAAATTAAGAAAAAAATAAAATAAGGAGAAGCCTTATGACAGAATTTGATTACCACATCAGAGAGCTGCAAATTGAGGACTATGGCAGAGGATTCATTGACTGCTTGAAAGAGCTAACGATTGTTGGTGAAGTAAGCCTGGAAATGTTTCAAAAACGATTTGAAGAACGAAAGAGACAAGGTGTTATGACTGTAGTGGCAGTCGATAACAAAACACTAAAAATTCTTGGAACAGCCTCAATGTTTTATGAGCCTAAATTCATTCGAGAATGCTCAGTAAAAGCATATATTGAGGATGTCTGCGTGGCCCCATATGCCCAGAAAAGGGGAATTGGCAAGAGGCTGGTAATGTATCTGGAGGAAAAGGCATTGAAGGACGGCTGCTACAAGGTTATATTAACCTGCAGTGAGAGCAATAAACGGTTCTACCAGAAAATGAATTTCAAAAAGACTGAGGTGGCTATGGCAATATACTCAAACACATCACAATAAATCAACACATCCAAACGCCATCTCTTAGTTTTGTTTTACTGGTTATAGTATGGCTTTAGTATAATTAATAGTCTGCTTAAACGAAAGCTATTTGTAGATACGTCTAAATGCTGTATATTAGCCAGTATGTGGAACCAAAGACACAACTCTTTGTAAAGCCTGTTTATTTTGAGACCAAAATTCGTCTGCTGGTGCCTACGCCTCTATTTTCCACCTCAATTTCAATGCTTCGATGATTCCCAATGTTATAGACCCTAACAACCTGGTTGTTTTCTACATTGGACTCATCCTCGTCTGGACAGTTAAGCGTCTTCAGTTTGACAGAATCAATGTGCTTTGGATATGAGATCTTAATCTTACCATTCTGGATGGAATATTCCAAGAATTCCTTGCTTCCAATATACAACATTCTTTCACTTAGTACTAAATTGAATGCTTCAATTTCTTTGAAATACAAATCGGCACTGTGATCAACACTCTCTTCTTGTCTTAGAACATCAACTAAGCGACCTCTGTTCAAACACGGATCGCCATGCATACACAAGAAATCTATTAGGCCTCCTAGTATACACTTCAAGTTTTCAACTTTGGCTCGCACAAGCGCTAACATGTGATTTGCACCAATTTCTGCAACCATTTCTTTAGATCTAGGCTTGGCTGGAAACAGATCGTAGATCATAAGGAAATGCTCTGGCGACCTTGACTGCACAATCATTTTGAAAAACTCTTTGCACTGCTCTTTTGAAATGAGATGCCTGTGTCGTATCTTTTCATATAGCTTTGGATTTTCATAAACCACCTTGCAAATGAACTCCTGGTCGCCAAACTCACAAAGCCTCATTAGTAGCAAGCCAAGCAGCTGCTCGCGCCTTAAGATATCCATTCTTCCAGAAACATTAGCCCGCCTCAGCTCATTTAGCCTTTGAAAAACCCTTCTGAAATTTGTTTTATCAATTAAGCTGTTGAGCGAATCAAAATACAGCCTTTTATCAATTCCAACCTCGAAGATCCTTGTGATGACAATTTCAGGCATTATTTTAAGCATTGCTGCATATTTGAAGCCCAGAAACTCGGAGTTTGCATTTTTAGAGTTGATTAATCTGAAAATGAACTCTTCAATCCTCTCTAATGTATGTCCAATGGCCACCAAAAGCTTCATTGATTCGAGTGCCAAGGCGATTTCTATTTGTTTTTTGGCTTTAGCACTAGGATGAACCAGAAGGCTCTTCAAAAGTTGGACTATGCAGTCATCGATGGGTAGCCTGGATGCCAAGTACATACGGTGAAAAAGTTGTAGCATTTTAAGCTTGGTAAATTGGCATTTTAGAGATGCAGCTCTTGAAAGCAGCCATTTAGCTTCTCTCTCGCTGATTCTATTTTCCAGCCTTTGGTTCAAGACTATCTGAATCTTTACATAAAGACACGGCTCAGACAATGAAATCAAGGAAAAGTGCAGAGTGCATTCATACTTGCTTCTGGCGATGAGGTACTTCAGGTACTCTCTTGTGCTTTCACCTGGAGTCTTCATTTTCATTATCAGCTCCTTGTTTGTATGCTCATCATCAGGTTCGTTTGACATAAATATCAATGTGTCATTAACGTGGTTCTGATCAAGCAAATCCTTTTGAAGAGTGTTTTGCAGCAAAATCAAATACTCCTGTGAGTCTTTCATCAACAATCCTAGATATCCAAGCTTTTTAACTTCTATATTTGAACTAGCAGTAGCCTTCACAAAGTCCAAAATGCTTATATCCATCCCGGTATTCAAAAGGTATAGCTTCTTCCACAATGCATGACGCTCAGATTCGTCGTCTTTCGTGTCCCTTGCGGCCAGCTTTTTCAGTTCGTACAGAGCCTGAGATTCACGGTTTTCATATCTGGTTTTTCTGATTTGCGAAATAAAAAGAGAAACAGATGGGTCAACGCTCGAATGCATGGCATTCATTGATGCTCTCCATTTAAACCATTCTGAAACAAAATACAAACACAAGTGTAGCCCGGTGGTACAGTTAAATAGCCTCATGAAATATATCGAAGCCATATAACACAGTTGGCTGATCGCATGCACTATTTAATCATATCTTTTGATTCCAAAGACCCGCTTCATGTGCATAAAGCCAAGCTTTGGAATTACGACGAATAGTAGCGAAATACCTGCAATTATCAGCAGTCTCATATCCCATTCAACCATCCTATGCACTATCATAAATAGCAGCACTGGGTAGAGAGCTAGAAATATTAGAGAAGATGAGTGGCCCAGCTGTATAGCCATTTGCTCCCAGAAGGTACACTCGTTGTACTTCGAGTTGAATGGATCCCCAACAATCCAATGGAAAAATATGAACGAGCCGATATTATATGATATCACCGATACTTGGAGACCAAGATTCTTTCCTAATATTTGAGTTAGAAACATCGCCAGAAGACCCGTTAAAACAAAATGGATTAGCCAGCTTCCCTTTTGGATTGTCCAGGCAACATTTGATGAAACACCCACACCTCCTTTGTCAGATTTCATGTATTTTTCTCGACTTACACATAATGACATTAATTCTGAAACAGCCTCAAACAACAAGTTTGAGTCAATATGGCGATCGTGGATGCTACGACAGACTTAGCATTGAAGCATATCACAAAATGGACTTTAATACCGGATTGTTTATATGGATGCTCTGCCTAAAGCGCACAATCTTCAACAACAATTTGGCAGACAAAATATTAGTCTCACGTCCAAATTTGTCTATCTACTGACGTCCGCCATACCAGCATTTTTACTAATCAGAAATTTCAAATAAAGTCCCATCTTCATCCACACAGGCTTCTTCCCGGTCGCTATCAAACAAGCAATGCCGATCCTCTAGTAGATTGCCTCTGGAGGTGCTTAGCACTTCACAGCTCTCTGTATTCTTTGACTTAAGGCTTTCAAGCGAAAACATTCTGGACTTCTGGTTTAGTATGAGAAGAACATCGCCAACATGAAGCCTTAGAATAGACGACATTCTATTTAGCAAAAATTCAAACTCATCAACGTTGCTAGGCATATTTAAAATTAACTGATATAGTTGGATGTCTGTCATAACATATTGCAGGCTTTCATCGTTTTTCTTTGCCAGATACACTCTAAGCTTCATAAGGTCCTCTGCCACGTTTCTGAATGATGCATGGACACCATAGAAGTTCATAAAATCATTCATTTCGTTTGTCGGCTGCATCTGATGCCTTTCATGCGCCATGCCAAGATTGTGTTTTTCAACTGCGTTTATCAGTTCACTACAAATAATACAACAGAGAACCTCGTTTAGTGGCCGTATTCTCCAGTCAATATACACGTTGGAGTCTGGTACATTGAAGTTTTGATAGCAGCCAATTGACCCAAAATCTTTTACAAGCCTATCCACATCTCTTTGAGAGCATATGATTTTCTTGACGCCACATGTCAATAGTCTCAGCTGGGGTATAATATCTCTAAACTTGACTGTGTCTATTATGTAGATATATCCATTTGGCACGTACAATCCAATGAAACATGAAAAGCCTTCGAAGCTTCTATAGTCATGGTCAAAAACTCCCAGAATCACATTTTCAAGCATGCTGTCCAACTTTCTCAGACTTTCTTCTGAGTCTATGATGATATAGCCTTTATTTTCTTCAAATTTTTCAAACGGTGCAAAAAGACAGGTGCATTCAATATTTAGCTTGCTGGTCGTGTTGATATTGGGCTTAACAATGTCTCTTGATACAATAGCACATATGTTCCCATCCTTTCTGACATATACTACATCCCTGCATTCTTTGAGGCTGTCTTCTATCTTTGAAATTAGCATATTTATAAAATCCTCAGAAGCCTCACATCTCTTCATTGTTTTGGATATTTTGTCGGCCAATTTCTCTATCGGACCAGCATGATTCTCATTTTGTGTGTCTAACTGCCCTATTGCAGAGTTGAGTTGTTTCACAAACTCTGCTGCGAGATCCATTAGCATTGCCACGGATCACAAAATTTTCAGTATAACAGGAATCCCGAGAGGCTAAATATCTCAAATGCCAACAGTAGTGCTTCGTCGAAAGCTCTCCAACATCCAGCATCGTAAATATGGCCATGCTTTCTTAATCACGCAGTTTAGCGTTATATTCAAAAATTTTTCTTCCTAAAATGGGACTTAACGACGCTGAGTCTGAAGCAAAACTGGGAACTTTGACAAGCACCGAGGAGGACAAAGACTTTGAGGCCATACGATCCAATTTTTCGTGTGCAATATGTCTTTCTATAGCATTGGAGCCATGCATGCCACCCTGCGGACACCTTTTTTGCTCTCCATGCCTACTGCAGTGGATAAAATCAAATCCAGATTCGGCCTGTCCAAAATGCAGAATTCCATTCACACCCGAGTCTATTGCTCATATCAGTAACGGCTATTCTGCAAAACTTAAGAAAAATGCTAGTGATAAGCGTAGGATTCTAAGGCCAGGAATCTCGCCCCAAAATATGCGATTTGGGAATCTCGTTATCTACCACGAGGAGTCACAAAAGCCTTCATTGAGATACATTGCATTCACCACCATGCTCTGTC